AGCACCACATGCCAGCCAGCCCCGCCCCCGGGTGGGCTGAGCTGGCCACACACACACACACACACACACACACACACACACACACACAATAAATAAATGTAAAAAAAAAAAGATATATCAAAAAAAAAGAAAGAAAGGAAAAGGAAAAAGATGAAGTTTATCTCTTTACTCAAACATCAATTGCATTTTCTAAGGATTCTAGTCTAAATTAGGTGGGAAAACATTCTAGTTGTTTTGCAAGCATGTCACTTTGGATTCTACAGCAATGGGCGGTACTTTTCTGTGAAGATTCTAGCAGTAAATATTAGGCTTTCCAGGCCGTGTGGTCTGTGGAACAGCTGCTCCACCGCGAGGCCACTCTAGTAGTTCAGAAGCAGCCGGAGGTGATAAATAAAAGCGCTGTTTGCGTGTTAGGAAAACTACTTTCCAAAACAGCCCGTAGAGTTGTCCTCCACTCCATGGTCTGCTGACCCTTGTTTTGTATTCTTTTGGCTTTATCTGCCCAGAATGTAATTATTTTAACGAGGTGATTTCTTACAAATCAACATTGCAGAGCCTCCCTCTAGCACCAACGTTCCTACAAAAGTTGAGTCTGGAATATGCAAAGACATTGATAACTGGTTACCCTGTAAGCTCATTAAGGGTCAGAAGGGAGCCTGATTTTATTTGGTCACCTGTTAATCTCTCTCCAAGATTAGATTTGCAGCCAGCTATAACCTAACTCAGTCCAGGCACATAACAGCCCCTGACTTCTTCCTGTGCTTAAGCCTCTTCACAGTTACAGAAATGCTCAAGGTCAGAAACTGCTCAGTCAGTATTTTATTTCATTGTGGCCATTGGGACTATAGATCTGAAAAGTATTTTTACTTTTTCCAATCCCTTTGAGTGAAAAATATCTAATGCAAATTAAAGCAGCGCTGAGAGCCCATCTCACCCCGAAGGAATGGCAGTGATCAAGAAATCCACCAATAGCAAATGCTGGAAGGGATGTGGGAACAATGAGCTCTCCCCTGCTGTGGGTGGGGGTGTAGACTGGTACAACCACTGTAGAAATCAGTATGGAAAGTCCTCAAGAAATGAAAGCTAAGGGCTGGGAGATAGCTCAGTAGAGTAAGTGCCTGCCTGGCAAGCGCAAGGTCCTGAGTTCAAGCCCCAGTACTGCGAAGTAAAATAAAATAAAATAATAAAATCATTCACAGTCCGACTTGGAGTTAAGTAGTGCTAAGGTTTGCATTACTATCTCTTTGACATCTCTGCACAAATGTAGGTTGACTACAATTGTCATGTGTAGGAGATGATGACTAAACATTTTTATTTTTGGCAGAACCAGGATTGAACTTAGGATGACAAAACATTTTTATAAGCTACTTTTTGCCAAAGAATATATACTGGATATACTTAGAAGTTGGCAAATAAGGATGAGCACTAATTCTAATGGCTATGACATTCTCAGTTGTACATGTACTTACTGTAGCCCACGTGGACAGTTTCCTGATGGAGAACTTTAAGTGCTTTGTGCTTTTCCATGATTATCGAGAATGCTAAGGTAAAAGTTCTTGCGTGTTTCTTGTTACCTTGCCAGAGCGCCTCTTCGTGATAAATTCCTAGAAGTGACACTAGCAGAATTGTATGCATAATTTTGATAGGAAGAGTTTATGCCTAAATTATATTCCCCCAATGGTTAAGGAGCGTATTTTACATCCTTATGCATCCTGGAAATTTTCTGTAATCTCAGCATCCTTTGTGGTTATTTTGTATTTTTTAAACCAGTGCCTATGTAGCCCTTTTGTGTCAGAGATTGTTAAGTGCTTTTATAAATACTTACTAATTTGGTCTTCATAATCCCTTGAGGCCAGATGTGGTGGTACACCCCTATAATCCCAGAACTTGGAACCTGAGGCAAGAGGATTGCCATGAGTTCAAGGCCAACCTGGACTGCATAGCGAGACCCTGTCTCAAAACAAAACAAAAAACAAAAACAATCCCAAGAAAGCACACTACTGTCACCTAAGTTACAGATGAAGAAACTGTTGCATGACTTGGAGGCCATGCACTGCATGATGGGGAAGCAGGACATGGTCCAGCCTGGTGACTGTGACTACTAGGTCCTGCAGCCTCTTGGAGGCAAAGCTTAGCTGGCCAGGAAACTAGCTGGACACCAGGGCCAGACTGTCTGATCCTGACTGCCAGCCACCTACATTTTCAGTATTTTTATTTTAATTATAAAATGATCTCTTTGATTTTTTTTTTCTTTAGGGTATATCATGGTCAAAGGAGAGCACAGGAAGCTCTGCCGCACTACCAGGAGGCATTGAAGTACGTGGAGGTCAGCAAAGGGGAAGAGAGTCTGGAGTATGTGTCTGTCCTGAGGGAACTGGCGGGGGCAGAGCAGGCCCTGGGATTCCAGGATGCAGCCATCAGCCATCTCTTACAGGTAAGGGGCAACTCTGTCACCAAAGCTTTGCCAGGCCCGATGCTTTTCGTAAACACAAGGCACGCAGCAGCTCAGGCGGCACCTAGCTTTGTCACTGGGACCCTGACCTAGAGCTGGTGCACAGTAAAGATTTTCATGTTAGATACCCTGGGTGGATATTGACGCCGAGACTGGCGGCACATTCTCCAAAGCGCCAGAGGCTCCTTACAGGTAGGCTTTCTCACGTTAAGTGCGTTATTTGCCACGTGAAGTGTCTTGATCCTTTAGTATTTATATATGTAGAACTATGTTACCAAACTGACCTTCCTCTTTTAAACAACACTCTAAGATCTTGGCCTGAAGCCACTGCGGAGTTGCATCTGTTAGCACCTATTCTCTTTTTATCACCATAAAATTCTTTATGAGCTGAATTTCTTCTCCAGGAGATTGCAGGAGCTTTTTGCTTTTCAGGTCTTCAACTGATTAGATGAGTTCCACTGTTTTGAATGAGGGTTATCTCCTTTACTCAAGTTCCACTGATCATAAATATTATTCACATCCACAAAAGAGAGTCACAGTAGCATCTAGACTGATGTTTGATCAAGAAACAAAGCATTATAACCTAACCGGGTTGAGATAGAATGTGAACCATCATAGGGCACTTGATGTCTTTATTTCTTTTCTTTTTAATGTAGTTGGTACAGAGTCTCACCCTGCAGCTCAGACTTGTAGTGATCCCCCATGATTTCAGTCTCCCCAGCGCTGGGATTACAGGCTTGCACCAGCATGCCCAGTCTCAGTTGCTGGCTCAGCACGTTCAAGGGATGGGGCCAGCGTAGCATGTGGTGCAGGGAATCAAGCCCCAATCCCAGCACTTGCCTAAGCAGGCGCTTAATCTGCTGAGCTGTCTCACTGGCTCTATGTCTTTGTTTCATATCATCAGCTAATGCACTTCTCTTCAGATAATTTAAAATATAGGCTAATCTATTCCTGTTATTTCAAATGAGAAATATAACAACATGGTAATGAAGATAAATTATTGCTTTGTCTTTTAAAATTTCTCTGGCCACTTACATTCCCAATCACAGTGCTGGACAGCCCCTTCTCTCTCCTTATCTGGATCATACCTTAATCATTATTTCCACTCTATAACATATCGTTTCTAGTTTATAGGTAAGAAAGACTGGAATTATAAAGGCCAAGAGCTAAACCCAGGAAGAACTAGCCTAGGAGTAACCAGGGGTAGCCTAGGTTCAAAACCCCATTATCTTATTGTAAGATTCTTCTGAATGCTGTGTAGAGAGTAGGTTGGGGAGCTTGTGCCAGGTTGGAAGTGGAAGGATCAACTGGAGTCTCTGACAGAGCAGAGGCAGAGACGATGGTGGCTGACAGTGGAATGAAGATTCTGAAGATGCAGGTCAGTGGGGGACTTGGAGAGGATCCGGAGGGCAGACTGGTAGGGTGTGGAGACGGATTGTGTATGGATGGGGGAAGAAAGGACAAATCGATGATAACTCAGGTTTCTGGTCTAGACAGCCTTGTGGATATTTATGGCATCTTCAGTGGAGGAATAGGGATCACTGGGTGATGGAGAAGTGGTGAGCTCTGTCCACAGCGGTGAGTCTAAGCTATTCCTGGCATACAGGGAGTGACAACAGGGCAGTGAGCACCTGGAGTGGAGCTGAGGAAGGTGCACACTTGGAGACCGTGATGCCCTGGGACAGGATGACTGTCCAGGTGGCGGGAAGGAGGACACTGCAGATTGGTGATAGAATTTTAGGAACTTCAGTGTTCAGGACTGGGTGAAGGCAAAGGCAAAGGGGAAGACAGAGCAAAGAGGGAAGAATGTAGTAGGAGGAAAAATAAAAGTGAAAGCGATGCCCTCCATGTCACTCCTTTTAATTCCTTTTTACTATTATGGATACATGGATTTTTCATTGGGATAGATAACTTAATATTGGTGAAGTGATTGGTGCCTGATACATGGTGCTCCATATTTTTGAGACTTTCTTGCTTTCCAGCTTTTCTTTTTCTTTCTTTGATCATTGGGGCAGTGATGACAGAAATGTTATGAAGAATGGAATGTGAGGAAGCAAAACTAATAGACGTAGACAGCCATTTCAGAAAGTGCTTAGAGGTCAAGACGTGCTCAGCCTAGAATGATCTCAAAAAGACTTAAAAATGGACCATAGAATGACACTATGCCTGGGCTACAGAAGGGGTGGCACAGGCAGGGAGACTGACACCATCCACTAGCAGTCTTGGAGGATGCTCAGGGGCCTGCAGAGTGGATGACAGGATGGAGAAAGAAGCAGGGAAGTAAGGCAGAGATGACCGCAGCAGTCCAGGTAGGGGATGCTAGTGGCCTGGATCCAGGGAGTTCAGTGAGAGTGGAGAGGTGTGGATGGATCAGAGAGACAACATGGGGAGCAGAAATGATGTGACAGGGTCAGAGGTAGAGACAGAAGGAGAAGAAGGCTTGAGGTTTATACCAGGGCTCTGGCTTGCATGCTTGTAAGTGGCTGATGTGCCATTTACCCAGCACGGGGACACTGGCATGTTTGCAATAATGCTAAACATTCTTACCTAAAACTTTTACTTGAGGACTAGACAATGAAGAGACAGCAAGGAGAAGAGCTAGGAAACATGATAGAGGCAGGCCATACTGTTATATGTACAAGATGGGTAAGGCAATGATCCTGAGAGCCTTCAGATTTTCGAATTTAACAGTTAATTAGAAGGATTCTCACCCTGACTAACTATATATACTGACACCTGTGAACTAAGCAACTGCACTGCAGATGGCAATTTGTAATAGTAGGTTCATGCTTGGAGTGCCTGTCATTCTGGTCTTCTGAATATGGGCTGCTTGTCATGACATGCCAGTTGCTGCTGTGCTGTCTCTCGGATAGATGATTGTTTAAAAAGGAAGGGGTTGGTGAATGAAGGCAGGAGACAGGAAAAGGAGTGTTTTGGGACTGTCCTGCAACAATGTTGTATATGGTTAGATTTCTGGACTTATGTGTAAACATATATAATTCTTTATTCCTATTTTTTAAATATGTTTTAGTTTTTAAAATTTTTTGTCATATTCTATAGGGACTTAAAGTTTAACATTTCAATACTTTGTGAAAATACCTGTTCCATGTTATGCCTAAGATGTTTGATATTCAGACAGATAGTGTGGTTAAGCACAACAGTCTAGGTTACATGGCAATAGCAATTAGCTTCTCTTCTGGTGGGTTAAAAACCTAAGTTTGCAGACCAAAAAGTAGAGAAAAAGGAGGGCTGCAAGGAAAGCCAACGTTTTGGCCCTAGCCTTCCAAGGCCAATTAAAACTCAAGACATGTGAGAGCTTGTACTAAATTTTCTGGTCAAGATTATGGGGCTAAAGAGGAAAGTGATTGATGATGTAGAGTGTGCCTAAGGAGAGTCACATAGAGAGAAAACATTCTCTCAGGCTTTCACAGAGAGCAAATTGGCCAAGCAATGGCCGTGACTCATCCACATGGCTGACACAAAGGATCTACAATCTGAGGAACGGGGTCTCAGGATAAGTCCTGAGGGGATTTGACTGACCTTAACAGATCCAAAAGCTACAATTCTTGTTACATAGGTCTTGCTTTATCTTGGTCTTAACTATCCAGCAGAAAAGTATAAAAATGAAGTACAAGAAATAAAGCCACGTTGTTATGTTGAGCCGTAGGGGACTCAGGTCAACAACTTCTGACACTGCCAGTCAAGCAGAAGACCCAATACTGTTATGGACTACTGGACTATTTTGGAATATTTTGCTGAGTTCACATACCTATGATATTTAAATGATAGAACTAAACAAAAAAGGATATAGATGAATGTCCATTTTGTATCTATGTATTCAAAATGGTTAGGATAGATATATAGCCACATTCTCTTAATTCAAGGAATAGAGGGATTTGTTCTCATAGTGTTTGTAAATAGAACATAATTTCTTCATCTTGTACAACAAACAACCACTAGGAAGGGAGTATGCAATGTGTTAATTATTGGAACTGTCCTACCAATTTTATTTGAAACTGTCTCATTGCTATTTATTTCTCAATAAAATTATGGAAACAAACCCCAAACTTTTGCTGGGTAGATAGCTATGACTATTTTACAACTCTTAATCCATACTGACCTTCTGCCAAAGAGTTTTGATTACCCTGTCATTGGAGTGGTATTTTGTTACAGGTGATGAACCTACAGTGACAGGTTGTTGTCATCCAACTCCATAGTTTACATCAGGGTTTATTCTGATGTGCATTTTATGAATGTTGACAAATGTATAATGACATGCACCTGCCATTATAGTATCTACCTGCAGAGTCTTGACGCTTCCTTTTTTTCCTTCCAATTTCTAAACCTCCCAGAAAGACACTAAGTGTTAGTTTGCTCAGGGGCATCCCTGAGAGAATTTGCTAGAATAAAAGGTGGCGTGGAAGACTAACATCAACAGAATGTATTCAAATATTGTATTTGAGCTGGATTCAGAGGCACATTCCCCAAGCCATGTAAGACCCTGGCCTATCCCCAGAATTCATAAGCCTACCTGGAAAGAGGTGCTTAGAGCTGAATACTATCAAGACATAATAAGTTAAAATTAAGTAATTACATTGATTTTTATGGTGCAGTAGATATGCTAATGTGGATTTTGAAGAGAGAGAGAGAGAGAGAGAGAGAGAGAGAGAGAGAGAGAGAGAGAGAGAGAAATGAGTCTGTGAGTCTGTGAGACATCAGTGTCACCCCAACCACAGTTTAGGAAACACTGAATTAGGCAAAGAAATATAAAGGTCTGAAATCGGGAATCAGCAAGAAGATTCACCTATAAACATGATCTTGCTGAATGGCAGGTGCTTTCTCCCTGAGGATTCCTTACCTCTGCATGAATGGGAAACCAGTGACAATCCCCCTTGCTCAGGAGGCCCAGAGTCACCATTTTAAGTATTTTGCTTTTGTCTTTATAGGACACATTAAAATTATTTATATTTTAATCTTGTGAT